CATGGCATATGCTGGAAGGTCACTAATTGTCCATAACAAAATAGCTCTCATATTAAATGTTTGCTTTGAAACTGCATCATATGTTATGGCACCAACCTCCCACAGTTCTTTAAGCTCCTCTACCAATGGTTGCAGGTAGACATCAATTCCATTCGCCGGATTCCTTGGTCCTGGAACTAATATAGTTAAAAATAAGAATTGTTGTTTCATACACATACCTGGAGGCAAATTATACGGTGTCACGATTACTGGCCAACATGAGTATTTTTGTCCAAATTGACCGAATGGCTGAAACCCATCTGTGCATAGACCAAGTCTGACATTTCTTGGATCTTCAGCAAATTCTGGATAAAGATTGTTGACATGAATCCACGCCTTTGCATCAGACGGGTGACGCATTACTCCTTCCTCCCTGTGGTGATTTTTATGCCACCTCATATCATCTGCTGTAGTAGCTGAAGCATAAAGTCGTTGCAATCTAGGAGTAAGAGGAAAGTACTCCATTTTTGCAAGTGGAGTACGCTTATTTGTATGCTTGCTAATGTCATACCTTGCAGTAGAGCAAAATTTACACTCCAGTAGCTCACTATCTGCTCTCCAATATATCATGCATCCTTTCGGACAACAATCAATGGATTGATGGCTCATTCCTAACACAGATAGTTTTCTTTTGATTTTTTTGAAATTAGGAATTGGCTTGCTTGGAATGTTTGATGGGAAAAACCTATTTATGAATTGAGAAATTCTATCAGTTGCACCTTCTGTTAAACTCATCTCTGTCTTTAAATTCAACATTTCTGTCATGGCACTCAACTGCGTCATTGGACAACCATCAAAACATGGTTGACTCATCGTATCTAACATTTCGTACATCTCTGTTGTGATTGGACAAGGTTCATCCTCCCCAACCTCGTTGTGGTCAAATCCCATTGGGACTTCATTCCTCATAGCATCTTCAAACATTGATTTGTACGCATCATAGTGCGATCCAGATGTATTACCATGAGATGAGCCACTCTCATCCAAATAAACTAATTCATTTGAATTATAAGGCTCTCCGTGTGCTGCCCATACATAATAGTCTTCCATGAAGCCCTTTTCAAATAAATGTTGTCTAACAATCTCCCAAGTCAACCACTTTTTATTCTTGCACTTTCTACAAGGACATGCAATAACACCGCTTGGATATAAGTCTACCGCCGCTTGGATAAACTCGGTAACCCCTTCCATAAATTCTTCATTTAGAACCCCTCGTCTTGCAAGCCTTTTATACATCCATGATCTATCGTGGCTCATCTAGGAACCTATACAAGATATATTAATAAATAATGTTATGTATTCATATCATTAAATACTTTTGTTGATGGAATCACACTAAATACTTAAAGAAATATGTCATTTTATTCACAAACACCTAAATATTGTATTATGGTAATAAATGAAACATCCACCCACTTTTGTTTATCTTTCTCAACAAATAAATTAAAAACTTCATTTATATCTATTACTTTAATTTCTCAAACTAGGGGATCAAATCTATAATTTAAAAAAAAAAACATCATACACTTTTACAAATATAGTCAAAGAAGTAGATTGTTTCTTCATACTCACCATCTTAACCTAACATTAAAATTAAAGTTCATCACACTAAAATAATGAGAATGTTTTTATACCATTACAAAATGGGTCAATGTTTTTCAACATAACCTAAATTCTATGTTAAGATAACCAGAACGACGAATACTAATTATTCATTTATACATTAATTAATTAATCATTACAAAGGGCTAATATCCACCACTTTTGTATATCTTTCTCAACAAATAAATTAAAAACTTCATTTATATCTATTACTTTAATTTCTCAAACCAGGGTATCAAATCTACAATTTTCAAAAACAAACATCATACACATTTACAGATATAGTTAAAGAAGTAGATTGTTTCTCCATACTCACCATCTTAACCTAAGCTAACATTAAATTTAAAGTTCATCAAACTAAAATAACGTGAGTGTTTTTATATCATTAAAGAACGGGTCAATTTTTTTTCAACATAACCTAAAATCTATGTTAAGATAACCAAAACGATGACTAATAATCATTCATTTATACATATAATTAATTAATCATTACAAGAAAGATTTGTATATACACCATATAATGAAAGATACTTTCTTCAAATAAAAGGACTAAGAACTCAATATTTTTGTATATACAAGAAAAAAACATGAAATCATATTTTTAGTTTAAATATTTAAGAATAACATCATATTATATATAATCAATTAATTAATACAAGAAAATTATAAATAATAATTAGAAGGGAAAACTGTCAAATAAGTCCACTTACTTTACACAAAAAGTCAATTGAGTCCACGTACTTTTTTGTGAGTCAATTAAGTCCACCAAGCATCAAAAAACAATCAAATAAGCTTTTTCATAGGTAATAAACCGGTTACCCGGTTTATCGCCTACGTGGATGTCCTTGTTGGCATTTTTTTAATGTTTTTTTATTTTTATTTTCTTTTCTTCTCCTTTTTTCTTTTTCTTTTTCTCTTTTCCCTCTTCCTCTTTTCTCTTTCTTTATCGTCCTTCCTTGTCTGCTGTTTTTTGTATTTGCTCGGCCCCTTGCACTTCTTTGTCTACTTCTTCCAATCCCTCCATTTTTGCCACCTCCTCCTACATTAGAACAACCTCCGGCCACCACTTTCACCTCCTCCACCTCCGCCGCCCTACTTCCATACACACCGCCCCCGGCCACCTCATCTACGGCCTGCGCCTCCGGTCACCTCATCTACGGCCTCCACCTCTGTCTCCGGCCACCACATCTGCGGCCTCCACCTCATCCATTAAGGCGAACTCCAACCGTTCCCAGATCCATAGCCACCTACCTCCGCGTGCGGCCTTCACCTCCTCCGCCCCAACCTAGCTCCATACAAATATCTTTGACCCCCACCTCTGTGTCGTCTATCTCTGTCTCTTCGATTGGAATGACCTCCAATCACTCCGACCTTCATCGATCTTCGCCGCCACATCCATTGGACCGACCTCCAGTCGTCCCGGCCTTCGTCTCCATCACCCCTGCCTCAATAGTTACAGGCTCCGCCATCTCTTACTCGGCCACGGTCACTACCTCCGCCGGCCAAGCTTCAGTAGACGGGTAGATATTCAGATCTTCTAGGGAGAAGATTGAAGGAGAAGGAATTTTTGGGAGAAGATTTGGAATTGACAGAGTGGGGAGAAGCAGTTGGTCGTGAACGGGTAGACACAGAGAAAGGAAAGAGAAAAAACAAAAGAAATGGAAAAGAAAACGAAAAATAATATAAATAAACGGAAAATAGTAAATAAAAAGCCCAACTGGACAGACACCTAAGCAATCAACCGGCTAACCGGTTGATCACCCACAAAAAGGCTGATTTGGTTAGTTTTTCACACTTCATGGACTTAATTGATCAGTTTAAATGTACATGAACTCAATTGATTTTTGGTGAAAAGTACGTGGACTTATCTGACAGTTTTATAAGAGTTCTAACCTTGAAATGCCGTCCAGATCTATTTTGATAGAGAGATAAGGATAAGATTTGTGTGTGGTGGAATAATGTGTTTGTGGTGGGCGCAGGGATATAAAGTTCAAATTTATTGACGGATTTTAGTGTCGGATATATCCGTCTCTGATTACTGACGGAGTCTTCCGTCACTAATGTCCGTCACTAGTTAACGTCTGCTCGTATCCGCCGCCCTTTCCGTCACCAAATAGTGGCGGCCTCAATCGGACACCAATTATTGACAGATGATCATCGGACATTAAATCCGACACTAATTACCGTCGGAATTGGAATCCGACACAAAAATCCGACAGTAATTTCCGGATTTCTTGTAGTGTACTACCGCTGCTAGCTCCGGCAGAAATGCCGCCGCCAGATCCGGCAGAACAAGGTGAATTGTGAATCTACATATACTACGGATGTAATATGCACACTCACAGAGTAACAAACCCAGGTTTCCATCTTACTGAAGGGCAGGACGTGTCCAACACTTCCGTACACCCCAATTCGGGGTGCTAAAAAAAGCAGTCTATTGAAGGGTTGGGGAGGTTTTCCTTAATACCCTTAAATGTTTTCTCTTCTAATGAGAAATGGTGGTTAATAGGACTAAAATTTGAGAAAATTATCACGCATATATATAACAAAAAGTGGGAGTACTTCCCAGCGTATGACTAGTTAGGTTTTATTCTTCATCTATGACCACAGATGCTTATTTCCCATGCACGTGTGTTTTGAGTTTTAAGTTAATACCAAGTCTATCCTCGTATGTAATGAATGAATTATTTATTCCTTCCTAAAATTTTGGCGATCCCTCACGTATCTTCTCCTTATCACGATTTAGCATAAGAATTGGATTTGTAACTGCCGTGCGTATAACCGGTCCTCTAATAAATGGAATATCCTAAAAATAAGGAAGTAATTAATAGAAGGTAAGTATTTTCATTAATTTTTCTCCCTTAATTAACTGTAGGTTATTTTCATCTTCATCCATTCTCGTCTATCATTTCACGGCATTGTCCATGGATTCCGTCCCCATAGGCTACTCGGAATTGTGGATTATGATAAAATACGACGGCCAATGGGTGTCAAATACTTTGTTCTCTAGTATTCATGTTGCCGGCATAACTATACCGTCGAATTGTACGTATGATTTTCTATGTTCTCAAGTTTGTGTTGCGATGGGAGAGCCCTATGCCGGGAAGAATATTAAGATCTCATACGTTTTTGCTGCGTGCCCACCTCCTGTGAATGTATGTGATGACGGTACTCTACTCTTTTATCTACAATTGAAGAGTTTGCAAAAGGACCCGATGCAAATGCCTTTGTGTGTTGAATTTGTATCCGGTGAGGATGTGGATGCTACGACTGGAGAGGAGCAGAGCATCACAATATGTGATGATATTCACAATGAAAGTGGAATTAATCCTACGAGTTATCTCGAAGAGCGCGGTGGCTTAAGTGATGAAGGCAATAATTTCAGTCACACTGTGGATGCAGACTTTGAACTTGAACATATTTCGAGTGCTGAAATTACGAGGTTAAATTCTCTCGTAGATGAAGAGATTCAGAATATGCCTGTAGTCAAGCATTCTGAACCCACGCGCATTTCATTGAATAGCATCTATGGAAGCAAGAAGGAACTTGATTTTCACTTAAAGATGTATGCCATTACCAACTTTTTTCAATATAGAACGAAGACATCTTGCCCGAGTGTTTTGCATGTTGTGTGTGTTGATTACCCCAATTGCAAGTGGGCTGTGCGTGATGTGTGCATCGACAAAGTGTCATTGTTCAAAGTTAAAAGGTATGTATTCATTTCTATGAGTTTATTGCCTTGCTTGTCTATTAATGCCATATCACTGTTTTGTTGTTTATACGTTGCCTGCATGTGTATTACTGCCCTTCATAACATTACTTTTAAAATAAATGAGCAGTGACAATGACGTATAAATTTAATTCCCTAAGATGCTATTTTATGCTGTCAGTGCTTTGTATATTACTGCCTATGTAATATAAATTTACAGAATTTAATTCGGCAGTTTTTAGGACATATAAATTTAATGTCCTATTACGTTTTTTATGTTGTCAGTGTTTTGGTTTGTTGGAAAAAAATGGTAATATAAATTTCATTCCCTATGATCCTCTTTTATGGTTTACGTTTTTTATGTTGATCAAATGTTATAATGCCCTCCCCTAGCCCTCTTTGTTCCATTAAGGTCTCTTTGTTTTGTCAATGTATCTCATAATTTTTCCCACTGTCCTAACTAATTCCCTGCTTCCACTTCACTTTTAATATCCTCGCCCCACTTTAATTGAATGGCTATATATATTTTATGAAAGTCTGTTCTTATACATAGTGAATTTCCATCATGTGTTTACGTTATTTAACTAATTGTATAAATTGCCGAAATATATTTTAATTGGATTTTTTTTTAATGTTTTCACTTTTTATGTGATCATAATTACATTTTTTTTATTTCTTATTACATATGCATTAAGTTTGGGTTCATTTTTTTTTATTCTGTTCAATGTGCATTAAATTTGTATCCACTGTATTGCTCATTACATAATGCGCAATGTTATCATTTTTTTCCAGATTTGACTCTGAGCACACATGCCCCATTGATGTGCGTCAACGAAATAACCGCCAGGCTACGGCTAGGATTATTGCTGAACTAATCAAACACGAGTACGGTGATCCCTCCAATAAGCCATACCCTCCAAAATCAGTCATGCTTGATATGCATACCAAGTATGGCATTTACATGTCATACAAAAAAGCATGGATTGCCAAAGAATTGGCAATGGAATTTGCTATGGGATCTGAACAACAATCATATGCTCGGTTACCTTCCATGTGTCATGTGCTTGAGAGGAGTAACCCAGGTTCTATTGTTTCTTATTCCTGCAAGGGAAATGGTGAATTTAAAAAAAATTTCATGTGCCTTTCTGCATGGAAAGATGGTTGGATTCATTGCATTCCTGTTATAATTGTGGATGGGTCTTTTTTGAAGTCATATTACAAGGGTACATTACTCACTGCATGTACACAAGATGCAAACAAACAAATATTTCCATTGGCATTTGGTATTTGTAGCGGGGAAAACACTGAAAATTGGTCATGGTTCTTCAGCATGCTGAAGCATTCGTTGACGCATAGGGATGATCTATATATTGTGTCTGATCGGCACGAGGGCATTATTAGTGCTGTGCGTTCTGTATTTCCTCATGCGGAGCATGGGTATTGTGTTTACCACATTCTGGCTAATTTGAAAACAAGATTTCGTGGATCCCAAAAACCGTGTCATGGAAGTTTTTGCAAGCTGCTCGTGTAGGATCTGTGTATGAGTGTGAAGAGTACCTTCGCATGCTTGATAGTGAGGATGAACGTATTCGTACGTATTTAGAGCGGATCGGTCACGACAAATGGTCTCGTGCATATGCCAGTCGGAATCGATACTCGGTTATGATGTCAAACAATGCGGAGTCATTAAATGCAGTTAATGCCACGGCCCGAGAATACCCAATCTGTAAGTTGATAGAGTTTATTATTGCTAGGATGCAAAAGTGGTTCTGTGAAAGGCGAGAAACTTCAACGTCGAACACTTGTCGTTTATCTACACACTTTGAGTTTGAGCTACTAGTTTTACAAGCCATGGCCGCCGTGATGACAGTATTCCCCTCAACCCGTTGTCTTTATTTCACTGCTTTATCTGTCTCTATTCCACTGCTATGTCATTTAATTGTACATTTCAAAATATTTATTTTTGTTTTTGGTTGTTTTACAATGAATTGTGCAGGTGAAACCATCATGTGCTTTTGAGTTTGAGGTGTTTGATAAGAAATCCCGCTCGTATGTTGTCAACTTGAAGGAACGTACGTGCACTTGTCGGGAATTTGAGCTTGATGGATTTTTGTGTGTACATTCCATTGCTGCCATTCGCTCTCGACCAGGTCTTTCTTGCTACGATTATATATCAGAATTCTATACAGCACATCATTGGGCACAAACATACTGTGTCATTATTCATCCTATTGGGAGTCCGGATTGTTGGATGGTACCCTCGCATGTGAGTCAAATCATTTGCAAGCCCCCATCATGCGAATCACGACCTCCTGGAAGGCCTAAGAAGAGAAGGATTCCTTCTACCGGAGAACATGCTCGGAAACAAACATGCACTCGTTGTCACATGGCTGGACACAACCGAAAGACCTGTAGAAATCCGATTCCGCTACACATGCGTTAAAAACTGCTTTTAATTTGCCGTTTTTTTTTAATATTTCTACGAATGAAGTGACATTCACCAGTTTGGTTTTGTTTTCTTTCTGAACATTATTGTTATTTATTTCTGAATATCAATTCCATATGACTTGCTTCCCTCCTGGTGTGAGTGATCGTGCTTTACGAGTTATTTAATGTCCATGTTAATAGTTTAATTCCTACATAGAGTGCATACCACTAATTACATTGCTTTTACCAGGTCCTATAAGGTTTTTCTTTTACCAGATCCTATAAGGTTTTTCATAAAAACTAACTCAGCGTCCATGGCGTTTTATTTACATTTCTATATTTCATATTCGTCGGGCATTAATTCGTCTATATATATGTTCATTTTAATTCCCATGGGCCTTTCCATTTGTCCTGAACTTAACCTTCATTCTACAAAATTCACTAGTATCCTGTTAATGGCATAGACGTACACTAATTCATCTAATACTCGGAATAATTCACGCTCTTCTAAAGTTAATGGCACCTTTTTTTTTTACCTAATTCACATGTCAAATGTTTTCAATCGTTTTCCAGTAACTTTATACATCCGTTATCAATTGTTCACACAATAATTCAACCTATATAGGCAGTGTATCTATAAGAAGTGCAATAACATTAAAATAATCCATCACATACCTAAACAATGAAATAAAATGTTCAACTTGTAACATGAATTTTCTCAAACCAACATTCAGAATCCAAGCCATACTGCAATGTATCATCTCAACTTGTCCTAGTACCTATATCTCAAAATTAAAAAAATACACCACAGGCATTTATTTCTCAATTTTATGCTCCTATTACACCAAAATAAGCTAGTAGCTCTGTCATCATCTTGCCGCGGTAAGCATTAATATCTTCGGGCCTCAGGTACTCCACATCTTTGCCCATCATTAGATACTCAGCCATCTTCAACACAAACAGCCCACAACTATCACTGTTCGGCAATAAATAAAATCATCAATTAATGACTTAGTAATCAATTATAGCAAACCTTCATTAAACAAATAACATACCTATCATTTTGTTGTGGGCATTCTTTCACCATATGTATCTGCAAGAAGTCATCCCCAATAGGCCCCTCACGTCGCTCATTGTACACTCCTAGCTTATCCATCAGTCTAGGTAAATACATTTGCATGCTCGGGAGGTAATGGTGAATGTGTATGTTTGTTTGCTCCCGACGAACGATAGAATCATACACACGTATGCACTTCTTACCTATATCCAGCACTAGCAGAATCCAGTGGTTACCTGTATTAAATGTCATAGATTACTGCCCTGCCTCACAAAACTTACTGCCCTAAACCTACTGTCATAAATCACTGCCCTACACATACTGTCATAAATAACTCACCGAAGAAATTCAGTTGCATACCTGTATTCAATGGCATGTAGACATGCTCTGCTTCAGCCCATGGCAGTGCGTAGTCCAAACGTGTCCCAAGTATGGTACACATTATATTCTTATTTAAAGCACTTTCTACCACTGACATTTGATTGCTAATGTGGTTCTCGTGATGCTGTTTGACCAAAGGCATAAACATAGGGTCTGTTGTCGTAAATTTTTGTTGCAGCTTATATTGTTCAGCTTTCATTCTCAAGAAATACATCCCTAACTCGACATGCTTCACAAAACAAATATTTGACTTCATTATTCATTACTGCATTACACTCGACAATATACGTAATATGAAGAAAAAATAATATTACACAATATAAATTTACCGTGTCACCTAACCAATTCCTTGGGAAGTAAATCGAGTAGTACCATGACTTCTTATCAATGGTTCCATCCCCGTATCCTCCTTTCACGCAGTTGATTTTTAGGTCATCATATCCTGCCTTGTATTTCTTGTCCTTGCTTTTTTGGTGGTTTTTAATTAGTCCTTCATGCATGATTTCTGATGTTTTTTCAAGCAGTGCAGCGGTTGGCATTTGAGAAGGATCTAAACTGAACGGGCCCACTATTGCATGCGGCTCATCGTCACCTATATCTTGCTCCTTTTTTTATCTCGTTTCCTCCGCTTATCTTTTCGGGGCCCAGAGAAGGTGAATCTTTTTGGCCGTTTGGACTGTCGTTTCGGCATACCATCCACTGCCAGCGGGGTTGTGTCCCCTGTGTATACCTGATCGAAGCATAAAAATGCATTCATATATACACGTAATACACTAACTGCATTAAACATACTGTCCTAAGTAATTTTCAATTCATTCATTCCCTACTCACCAAATAAGCATACTTTGTTAAAGCTACTGTCCTAAATTATTGCCACAACTTGAACCGGCTACTCACAACTTTGAACAAGCCATTCAGTAGTATAAATGTGATATTACTTCAATTAGTAGAAAATCTAATATTCATTTATATATACTCTCCTAAACATACTTTCTCAACGAATCTCCACTTCATTCACCTATAACTCACCAAATATGCATACTGCCTAAAACATACTTCCCTAAATTATTGCCCCACCCATAGTATAAACTCTTATATTCATTTATACATTGTCCTAAATCTTATTTACCACAATTTGGGAGTCAATTGGATCTACACTTTTGTCACTTCTTGTTGGGTCAATGTCTTCAATCCCCTTGTCATTGTCAGTATGCACCACTTCAGCCTCTGTTGCACTCGTCTCCTGCTTATCCTACATCACCACCAGAATAATTCAAATCACTAGTTCATGCTACAATATCAGTTATCATATATATCGTGAAAACACATTACACTGCTTTTGAGCATATTTATTTAATATTCAGGAGATTTAATGCCCTGTAATATATAACAAGAGTATTATTACATTGTACAATCTAATATTCAAATACCCCAGTCAACTATATAAGTTTATATGCAACGGAAATAATATACTAATCTTTGGACCTTTATAGAATTAAAAATATATACTATGAAAACTTATGAATATAGAATAGTATATTTATTATAGTGATCTTTGTTATATGATACATACCTTGCCAGTGGTCAGCACTTCTGTTTCATTTACGTCTACTCCACTGCCCTGTATCAGGAACAATTTGTTAATGAAATAGGTAATACACATTTCTAATATAACAACTCCGCTACATAGTTATTGTAAAAACGAAATACCTTTTCACCATCCATGTCACTGCCTTGTGGGTTCTTGTTATTGCCCAACAATTGATCACAAATGATATCAACCTGAGCACATAGCTGCTGTGTATCCAGCACTCCAATTTCTTCAATGCTCTGGAAATCATGTTGCTCCTCTTGCCTGCCCTCTTGCCCTTTCATATCAGACCTCATGTTTTTTTCAATCAAATCCACCTCCATTACCAGTTCTTGCGTATTCATTGTGCCATCAATGTCCTTGAACATGTCGGTCTGTGTCAATTCCACATCGTCTTCAACCATCCCATCAACGACATCTGCTCTCTCAGAACCCTGTTCCTCAACTTCTTCGTGCCCATGATCTTGCTCACTATCCTCTACCACGTTTTCATTAAAATCCAGACCCAAGTCAAAATTCGGCATTGCTTCCTTATCTTTCTTCTCTACTTTCTTGGACACTTTCTTCATCCTAGGCATCTTCCGCATTCTGCCTCTAATCGATAAAGCTTTCTTCAACATGCTGGATTGTTTCATTGCCAGGTCACACAGCTTTTCAACCTTCTCTTCTAGCTTTTTTATTCTTTTTCCTTGTAAACTCACTGCTGCCATTACATTGTGTATCATGGAGTCACCGTTCTCATCAATGATACCTGTGTTTATACTATGCGCTCTCACTCTTTTAGCAGCCACCTTAGGCTTTGCAACCTTAGTCTCAAGCTTTACTGCCTTGCGCCTCCATTTGCTTGGGCCCGGTTCTACAAAATCATCACTCTCACTTCCATCCCTAACACCCATGTCAGTAGCATCACTTGTGGATGCTTTAATCACCAACTCCATCTTCAACTCTTCATTAGCCAGCTTCATTTGTTCCCATTGTACCTGCAAACATAACGTCAAAACATGACTATATTACACCATTACAATTACACAATTACACATAAATTTTTTGAGGAAGTAATTGCACCTGCTCATTCTTAAATATAACATCATCAAGAACTTGCTGTGCAGGCCTAGCAGGAGCTGACCATTGCACTGTCCTAGGCCACAACTTTGAACCCTCCCTCCTCACGCACACTTTTGCTTTTTGAAGACCTGGAAATGTCTCGTACGCCCATATTTGCAATGCAAATAGATAGCCTGGAAAAGTAAATCTTGCACCCGCCTCTTGGTACAAAACACTTGCACACTTCCTTACTTTTTCTTGTAAATCATCCCATACAACGTCCCCCCATGGATATGTATTAAACTGCTCTATATTATCTGCTAGATTGATGTACATAGTTGGGAACTTTGTTGATGTTTGATTCCCCAGAATATAGCTGCTGAGAACATGCAATAATCCAAGCTTTACGGCATCCATTTTCTTGCTTCCGCTTCTTTTGGCCTTCCCTGATTCAAAAGCCGCTTTAATTTGCCCTCTTCCAACACTAGTCATGCCACTAAAGTATGTACTCCACAAATGCCCTGGATTCTGTGTGGATATGCTTGGCTTCTTCGTACCAAATGGAAACCCAGTGATAACTGCCAGATCCCTTTTTGTGAAGCAAGCAATTTTATTGCCAATCAGAAACTCCAGCTTACTTTTGTCAATCGTCATATTCAAACGGTCAACATGATTGGCCATGAGAAGGATTAATAGCTGCCCATTTACCCAAGGAATATTTCCCAAGTCAAGGAAGTATCCGAACACTGTTTTTTTAAATTCAATGAGTTCATCCTTTGTTAAGCAACTTCTTATACTTTCAACTGTCTTTATCATATTGCAATAACTATTTATTCTCATTGACTTTTCAAGAACAAAGTTATCACACTCCGGCGTCCTCACATATTCCTGCAAGATAAAACATTTAACTTATTACCTCTCAAATAAAATTTAATCCTTTCTTCATAATTCCCACTAATCTGCCAAATTATTGCCGAAATGCAACCATCGTTTCATGATATATTCCATACAAACCACTACACTAATACATTATGTCAGGAAATTGAACATTCTAAGGACCCGGTTTATTGATTCACAAATATTACAATACTTCCAAAAACCAGTTCATTACTACATTAATTCTGTAATGCAATTTGAAATACTAATGCACTCATTTATTGCTTCACACTTATTTCAATCATTCCAATAACCATACTGCGACTAACACACCATACACTAACACTACCATACACTACTACATTAATGTAATGCAAAACACTTAACCCTCCTAATTACCGCCACTTACTGACAAATTACAATCACATTTTCATAATCAATCCCAAAAACCACTTCATTAATACATGATATCATGACAATGAATGCCCAAATTTATTGATGCACATATATTTCCATATCTGAACAAACCCATTTCACTACTACACTAGTGCAAAGAAAAGGACCATCCTAATGCCTTGTTTTATTGCTCCACACAGATTTAAAAAAAAAAACAAATTCACCACATTTTAAATTTACAGTTAATGTACTGCTTCAATATTTCCCTCCACCGTTTTCTTTCCTCAGTTTATTGCCCTACCAACGACTTAATGCGCTAAACCATTGCTTAATGTATACGAGTACAGCACAATATATGTCCACTACATATATTGCCCTGTATCATTGCCAATTTCACAACCCTATTCATTCACCATATTCCAACTACGGATTTCTGCTCTGTACATTTTGGTTCCCAAATTACTGCCCTAACTCATTCACTACCCTATTCCATCAGCATTCTGTTTCCGCAAATTACTTGCATAACACATTGGATTTTTCACTAACCCAGCTCCATCACCAAAAACGAAATCGAAATAGAACATGCAATGCCTATTGCACAAAACCACATAATTCCACACATTAATGCTCTGCGACTGAGAAAACTTACTATTCCGTCGATCGTACATACAGCTGACTCAGTATCTGCCGCTTCCGTTGAGGCTTGTTCTCGTTTCTCCGGCTTCTTCACTGCTCTTGTTCCCGGCTTAGCAGTCGCCCTCGTCATGTTTGCGTCGTCACACGGCGCTTCACTTTGCGGCTTCAACTTTTGTTCTTTAGTCAATTCCTATTCTTCCGTACCCAAGTATTATTGCGGTTAATACGGATTACCCGTTTTAGAAGCCCAATTTACGGCGCACGTTTCTCTCGCGGTTACCGTTTCAGTTTATGGGCTTTTGTCCTTTTGATGCGTATGGAAGGGCAGTTTTGGTATTTACTTCCATTAGTTGGCTAGCCGATGTACGCCATTATCATACGGTAGATAAAAAAAAAACCCATATGGTCATATATAGGGAAAACTCACATGGTTTAGTATTATTGCCGTATTTCCCCCCTAAAATTTAATCCGTGTACTTAAATAAGACTTCCTCTTTTAAAATACCCGAATAGGACTTTTTTTGTGTGGCTTGACTTATTTACCCTTTCTGGTTAATTCGCTCCAATTTTACCACATGGACTCTCTAAGGACCCGTTTGGTAGTTTACACATTAAAACTTTGCATGCAAAATGATTGCATGTAAAGTTTAGGACATGTAAAATTGTTTGCATGTAAAGTAAAGATACACCATTTGGTTACCTATGTAATCTATTTTTAAATTACACGCAAAGTCTTTGCAATGTTTGATAACAAAAATAACTTTACATAGTAAAATATTTATAAAAAACTACTCCGTACATCACTTCATGCGTGTGATAGCAAAAATCTGTGGCCATGGCTTTTTCTCCAGCAATATGGTACCTGCAGTTGTCGATGATGCACTCGCGAGTGTGCCATGGTGCTGTTCTCCAGCAGTATACAATGGGTCGAGGGGGATCAAAATGTTATTTTTGTAACTATTTGAAACCAACTCATTATACTTGCCGATGACAAATTATATTACTAATTTTTGCTTCCATACACTTGTAAAAAATAAATGTATGTGAAATAGCAGTTTATTTGAATTGAAAGCACAAAGTAGACATTATAAATTGAAAATTTTAAATTGAAAATTACTTTATTGTCGTAGTTTCAACTACCAAAACAGTAACACTTTGAAGGAATGTAAAAGGATTAAATAGAAATCCAATATTGTCTTAATAAAACTAAATGATAAAAAATTCATAGAAAGTCACTAAAATGCCTCTAATTAGATTTCTCCGTTCAAGACAGCTCGGACATAAATCAACTTCGCCTCTTCGTCTGGCATGAGTAAGAAAGAATCCGTTTTTCCTTTGCTAGATGATATAATTCCAAATGCACGTATCGCCTGCTCCTTACTTAAATCTGGCAGATTCATTATCACCTGTAGTATATGTGGCTTAACATCATCAGCAGCATTAAAACGATCAAAAAATGTTGTCACTTTCTCAAACTGCTTGTTTGATGTAGCACACATTTCGAGAACTGTTTCAATTTTTTTTGGAACACTTCAGCATGTTTATCAAACTCATTCTTCTTTGACTTTTTTGATGGCTCCTCAAATTCCTTCTTGATGGAAATACCAAGAGTCCGCTTCTTATTTCTGTTGATATCAGGCGATGAAAAAATATCATCATTCGTAGTATCGAGATCCACAGGTACACCAAAAAAATCATCATGGACAACACTTTTTGGAACATGAGCTCCTTCTTGAGGTGCACTTTCTTTTCCTAAACTAGTCACCATTTCAGCTGGAGACTCACACTTATCCCCAGTTGCCCATTCAGCACCAAATATTATTGCTAGGTCATCATAATAAGGGAATGACTTGTGTCTAAGATGAACTGACTCTTTATGTCCCTAGAATGACGATATTGATTAAAAAATAAGTAAACGTCACAAATAACATATAACCATATTTAACACGTGCAATAATTTAGATATAATACCTTAATCCAAGAAGCCCAAACATCTAAAATTTACTCGTCTAATTTCATACCTCTCATAGGCACTTCCTTTTTGACACCTCTTCCTCTTTCGTATAATAAAAGTGTCTCTATAATATTCTACATCGCAAGCACAATGAGTAGAAAGTTTCTAAAATTTAAAGCAACAACATAAGCTGCCATGCACATTGTAATTTCGTCTTGCAATGAGCTGTCCATGGTCAACACTAACACCAAAAAAATATAACTCCACTTAATTAGTGTGTCATACAAATTTTATTTATTTATTTATTTATTTATTTTTGAAAGCTTGTTATAATAAGAATGAAAATATGAAAAGTTTGTGATACAATATTAGATAATTAGAAATTAAAAGATGTTATCACAAATCACAATCAAAGAAAAATTGTTCCAAATTAACACTAAAACTCAAAATTAGCTGGAACATCTAGTTAGAAGCTAGGCAACAATAGAACAACCGAACAGGGTAAATACGCCTTTTTAATAACAATGATAAATCAAATATAATGGGTATAAGAGCATCAAATATCATAACTGGTATAATAACAGAGACCATTACATCATACGGAGTAGTAAAAGCAGTACAACACACATCAATTAACAAAAAAACTTCAAAATCCCTATTTCTGCAAACATGGGTTTCCAGTCCCCAATCCCCGTTCAGATTGCAAATGCTAACTTCACAACAGCCGTGTATATACATATATTCATATATGTTTGTGTATATATAGATAGACAAATAATACATATATATATTTGATCAACCCAAGTATTTCTCATACCTAAACAACGGATATGCATGGTTTAGCTTTCAAATTCAAGTATACATCAAATCTCAGCATATAATCAAAGTTACAGATCAAATATTTGAATATATAAACACGTATATATAAATTAAACCAAAGTATAGAAGCTGACCTCTTGATAACGTCGAGCGGATGGAGAAGAGATTTGATGAATTGGTTTGATGATTTTATTTGCTCATATAGAAGAAATTATGAAGTTCTTGCCGCCAATTTTTTTGCTTTGCCGCCACAGTCGTGTTTCAATCGATGCCGCCATATGTTTTAATCGATGCCACCATATGTTTTAATCGCTCGCAAAAATAGGTTTTAATCGATGCCGCCATATGTTTTAAACTTTTAATCGCTCGCAAAAATGGATGTAAACTACTTTGCAACCCTCCCCCACGTAAAATATTTTACACGGTACAGTGTAAAATATGATTAAAAAAGTGCCCTACAGTTTACATTAAAATAGTTAAAACAAACGGTGTAAAGTGTTTACTTCCTCTCACTTTACACGCAAAATGTTTACTTTACACCGTAAGAAACGGGCCCTAAGTCTCTTCTCTTGCATCAATCCGTTTGCACTTCCACAACGAAACAGAGCTGCGCGACCCTGTGGCGAAACAACACAGATGGCGCCGGCGATAGCGGATGATGAGATGAAGCGTGACGGATCGGAGAAGACAAGGTGCAGCGGCGGCGGGGCTACCTGGCCCTTCTTCTTTCCTTCTGCCCGTCATTCCCTCCTATTTCTTCTTCATCTCCTTTTCTTGTCTTCTGTTCTCTGTCATTTACTTTCTGATCTGTTTCTTCCTTTGATTCACGCTCAAGTTCTGAGTCTCCTCCTCCTTAATTTCTGATCTCAATCTCTTACTAGAATTTTTTAGGCTCCTCCTGCAAATACTGGCAACAGCTTCCTGGTGGATCTTGGCTTCGCACCGCATACTGTTTGGTCATAAACTGTAATCTCAAGAAATCAGAAAATTAGGTGACATTGCAATTTTATGTTCCAATGGAATCCTACCGCGATTTACTTTCAGATCTGTTTCTTACGTATGTTAGTCTGCTCTTTGCTTTTACTTGTTTTCAGTTATTTCTTAGTTTTTTTTTTGTAATTTTATTTTTTCAGTTGTAATTTTTTTAGTATTTTGTGTTGTTGAGTTTTTCTAGCATACGGAGTATTTAAAACTGTTATTTCTTCTTCTTACACTCAGTAGTTTTTTTTGTATCGTTTAATTTTTCTATCATTTTGTTAAATTTTAGTTTTTTGTCTGTTTTTGTTTAATTTTAGTGCTAATGACTTTTTTATTATTACCTTTTAAATTCATTTTAATTATTTACCCTTCTAATGTTGGCTTTATGGCCTCAAAGTGATCAAAAATGTATTTCTCGATAAAAACAATTTTTTTTTACATCATGGTAATTGTTTTTAATAATGTCATTTTTTGTTGCATTGACGTTATCATTATTACAATGTAATTTTTGTAGCATTGACATTGTCATTGTCATAACTAGTATATTACACGTGCGATGCACGGTATACTACTTTCTATCATAATTATAAAAATCTTAAAATAAAAATGTAATAGTTCGATAAAATTAAAGCTAACGACATTCTATAAATGAAATAACGCAACCATGTATACATTAATATTTTCATGACATTCTATTATAGCATTAATATTGACATGTGATTGTTATTTTTCCGACATTGTTATTTTTTTATTGTGACATTTTTTCGATATTCTGATAGTTTTTTGACAATGTCATTTACGTATTATTTTACAATGACGTCATTACAATGTCACTATATCTCAATGTTATAAAGGAAAACAATGTCACTTTTCGGTAATGTGACATTGTTAATGTCACAATGTTAGATCACATAACAATGTCACAATTTCACAATGTCATATTTTGAATATTCACAATGTCAATAGTTTACGTTAACATTGTAACATTTTGTTATTCTGTTGTTTTGTTTTTGTTTTACTCAATGACATTGATTTTCAAACAATGACATCATTACATTGTCATATAATGACACTGTCGTATGGTGACATTGTATATTACATTATCATATGATGACATTGTATATTATATTCTATAATAATAGATCATAATATATTGTCAATAATGTTTTTCTATATCAATGATGTCACTTTGTATAGTATTGACATATTCAACAATGTTAACTTTTATAGAATTTATAGAATTGATAATGCCATGAAAACAATGTTATGACCGTCATTGGCATCAGCATTGACATTGTCATTATTACAATGTCATTTTTTATAGCATGAATATACTATTGTCATTTGTTTCTGGACATTGTGGCATTGTTTAGAAATATTAATATTAAAATGGTATATTGTGATATTAAAATGTAATATTAAAAGCAATATTAAAATGAGAACATTTGATTGTGATATTTTTCAACATGGTAACATGATTTAGGAAACTTTGACAATACAATTCAATGTCAGTTTCCAAAATAATGTAATAAATTCCAACAAAATTAAGATAATGCTATATTGCTATTAATTAATACTATATTACTAACAATGTCACGGTATTAATCATCGGATTTGCCAAAATAAATTATAAACTACTCTCTTAAAAATTAATTTCATAAAGAGAGCATGTAAAATAAAACAAACAGAAAAGAAAAACTCAAATTGAAAAGGTCAACTAGAATTACTAGTCCAAGACAACGATCAGACTCAAAAAGGTAATGCTCTGTTCAAAGCTTGCAGATGTTATCGCTCTGGCCCCTCTTCATCCTCTACAAGGTTCCAAACTTTCTTCAATATAGGTGACAACGAGCCAGGCGGAGATGGAAAAGATCAAACACGGGAATAAGAAGCAATTCAAGCTCTCCTTCCTCCCCGAGAATCTCTTATCCTTAGCCCAAATCAAGCAATTGTCCAAGTCAAAAGCATACTACCTTTGTGCCCCAGCCCTAAGCTTTTGACCTAGCCTGCCCGATCGATCCGACCTTGACCAATGCTTCTCTTCCAAATCCCATCAATCTCTGCACTAACGCCGATCTAATTTAGCATTTTCAGACGGATCTACGGTACTAGTGATGGGTTTCATGGGAGCCGCAGGAGATGATTGGTGACTTTTTCTTTTTCTTTAGATTTGGGGATTCATCGACCTTCTTCTGTCACACCAAGTATGCGGCACTCTGTCCCTATACGAGAGTAAACAAACTTGAACTCCTGTTTACCTTCCCGAAACTTATTTATTTTAGTACTATTTGAGTCTATCCCAATGTTCTAAAAGGCGTAAGGCGTGCCAAGGCAGCACGCTCACAGTGACCGGAGCCAGGAAATCAACTATGTAGGGGCCATTCTATTGAAAAACTACATGAAATTAAAAAATTATAATCTAATACATAAAGCATTGTTCCCGACAACTCGACAAGGGTCATACGAAAGAGTTTTACACGGCAAAAAGTTTAGGATAGTAGTTAAGTTATCCGGAGTTCTGACTGAAAAGCAAAACAAGTAAGGGGCTGTTTACTTACGACTTAATGGTCTGAATGGAAACAATGACTTATTCGGTCAGCCATATGAGGCTGTTTACTTAGGACTTATTTTAAAACATCACTTATTCGCTCAGACCAATTTTAACTTAATCGTTCAGTGCAAATTCAATACTCCTTCCGGTTCAGACACTCATATGTATCGCCTCTCTCTTTTTTAACCCTCATTCCCTTCGCTTCTTGTTCGCTAACATCTACGGCCGCCAAGTGAAGATCTGCGCGCACAGTCCATCGCCGGTCGCAACAACGTGCACGTTTCATCTCCATCTCCAGCTCTCATCCCTCACCTTCTCCATATCGGTATCTCCTTTTATTTTTCTCTAGTATTTTCTCTCTGTTTTGTTTTCAATTTCTCCTAATAAGAGTTCTTCCTTGTTCTGTATCATACTTTTCTCTACCTACAGTGAAGTTTCGAATTTTTGGAGTAAATTCACTACATTTTTATATTTAGGTCAATCTTATGTAATTTAATTTACATATGCCATATTGTTAAATTTCATGTTGGATGGTTTGATATTAGGGATTTATAACTCAAACTCTATTTTTTGGTTGAAATAACTCAAACTCTGTTATTTTTTGGTAAGGTACAACAACTGTAATAAATCTTGAATCATACTTGTATTTTAAAAAAATCATTTTTTTTGTTGGTTTAACTGATATTTCATCAGGAATTTGAGATTGCCATATAATTTGATATTCAACTGAGGCACACAGTCAAAAACCTTAGATTTTGGAGTAGAAAAAGGTCTCTCAATGGGATATGTGACTGGTTGATCTTTAGAAGTTCATCTCTTGATTGCTCTATTGTATAATTTTTGTTATCTCTGTGTACACATTGCTAGTCATATTTTGTTTCTATTTTTAAAAAGAAAAGTCTCCAATCACGAATGAACTTTAGAGCATAGAATTTAATCAGCCTGCCTAACCATCCCAAGCATGAGGTTTATTGTTTATTCAATTCGTGTTTCTGCAATGGGGATAGGGAGTACTATAGCGTGGGTTGCCTAACCATCAATAAAAGGGTTGATATTTTGCTAAGTCTCTACATGCGTGGGTTGATCTATTTTAAAAAGGTTGTCTGTTTTATGGGTTGATCTATTTTAAAAAGGTTGTCTGTTTTATAAGTCTGTACTCTGCATAGTACTTGTCTGGGTTATTAGGTGTCCTTCAACTTTGTAAATTATTCTTGAAGTGCAAATAACATTTCTAAAAGGTAATTGTGTTATTCACTTATTCCCCAATGTTTTTGGTTTGTTTCTAAAGCTCTAAGTGGCTCATATTTTGATTATTTTCAAACTAAGAGGGATGAGGTTCAGTCCATTAATCTTTAAATAGTTAATTTTTTTAATCTCATAAATTATTTATTACATTGAATTCATTAGCTTTTACATGTGCTTCCCTGCCCTTTCGTATAAGGAGAAGTTATCTGCTTCACAGCTAATTCGTATAAGGTTAATATTATTTATGCATTGTCTTCAAAAAGAAGTTTAATACATGGAAGATGATAACTCCATTTTTTGACAGCTTGTGAAGATCTTTTTATGTTATTTTGTATGCAATATATAGGCAGATTATTCTTAAATAAGTAGGCTGATTTTTTTGCAGTTGTTTATCGGATAAGTTAACCATCTATTAGCACTCTATGAATTATTGGGACACACCTATTTCATTCTTTAGGTATGGAACACGCCGGTGAATCAGAAAAGCAAAAAAAATGTAGGATAAGTTGGAAAAATATGAACGTGGTGAAAACGTTTCTTGAGACTTGTATCCATGAGATTTCCGTAAATGGGCGGGAAGGTAGTAGTCTGAAAGCTCTTTCTTGGAAGAAAGTTGCTAACGTTTTGAATGGGACTCATAAGTTTTCTGTTGATCGAAGGCAAATGAAAAATCATTACGATTATCTTAAAGGAAAATATGGAGCCTGGTTACTCCTCAAAAATAAAACAGGCAATGTGTATGACCCGTCCACCAACACATTTAATCTTACGCCCGAGGAATGGGAGATTGAAATTAAGGTAATTTTTGCCTAATAGACACCTTTATTTATTTTGTTGCTAATTTATTTCCTATACGGCTATACTTTACATATTCTTTTAACACAGAAAAATAAGTACATTGAAACTTTGAGGACTACATCGCTTCCATTCCCTGAACTTTGTGCACAACTATTTGATGGGTCTGTTGCAACGGGCGTTGAGAGTTGGGGACCAACTTCAGTCGAACCTATGCCACATGGACACACTTCATCTGATGGTCCAATTGTGGTTGAAGAAGAAGTGGAGTTTCAAGGTACACAAGCTATGTCTACATCAGCAGGTCAATGTTCAAGCCATAAGCAATCAAAAAAACTCAAAACTAAGGGCAACCAAGGAAATTCAGCCATTGATGAAGAATTTTTGAATGTGATTCGCTTAGTTGCTTCAAAACATGCGAAGCCCGAAGCATCTTCGAAGCCTGAACCACCAACTTTTGATGATTGCATGAACAAACTAAAAATGCTTGGATGGGAAGGAGATGACCCACTCTACGGAGTTGCCCTCGCAATCTTTTGTGATCCAAATGATCTTTATCGCGAAGCATGGATGAAAATTGATGCAGCACTCCTTCCAAATTGGGTCAAAATGATAGGGAAAAAATTAGGATTTATGTAGGTTGTTAGTTTCTTGTGCTTTGAACGTATTCAGGACTACATTTGGTATTTACGACTCGTGTTTGTTTTTTGGATTAATTATGACTCTTGTTTGTATTTTCATGGGATGACTATTGCATGTTTTTGTGACACTTGCTATATCTTGTGACATCTAAGAATGTAATGTTTATTTATAAATATCTGATTTGTACTTTTTTGCAAGGTTAATATGGATCTTGAGGCGCAACTTCTAATCCTAATGCTTGTGTATTATTATGTGAGGCGAAGAAATTCTACTCTAAGAATGCCAAGAATAAGAGATAACACTTCTGCATTAACTGGACATGCTTACACACAGGAGTTACTAGATGGTTCTAATACACAATGTGTGGAATTAATGCGTGTCTCTCATGCCGGATATGTACTATTATGCAACCATTTTAGACAAAGAAATTGGTTGAGTGATAGTAAACATATAAGTGTTGAGGAAAAGATGGCGATATTTTTGACAACCATCGGAAATAATCAGAGGTTTAGAGTGAACAAAAGGAGATTCCAACACTCTACACGGACCGTTCACAAATGTTTTCATGAAGTTCTACAAGGAATGATGGAATTTGCAAAAGAAATGATAGTACCAACAACGCCTGATTCAGTCCTAAATTTGTCAAACCGGCAAAAACGTTTGAGAGAGATTTTTCCGGTATGTTCTCATTTTACATTAGATTGGTAGTTATATTTAAAAAATTATGTGTTAAATATTTTAATTATGTTATGAAGGGAGCGATTGGAGCACTAGATGGAACTCTTGTACACGCAATTGTGCCCACTGAAAGGCAAACTATTTATAGAGGAAGAGGAGGGGGTCGGTGTTATCAAAACGTTTTAGGAATTTGTGATTTCAATATGATATTCACTTTTGTTTGGGCTGGTTGGGAAGGAATAGCACATGATTCTCGAGTACTAACGCAAGTTGTATTCAATCCTAATTCCGGCTTTCCACTTCCTCCACAAGGTGCGTATCATTATTTATTCTTTCACTAAATGATTTTAATTAAAATTTAAAAAATTAACACCGGAATTTGTTACAGATAAATACTATCTATGTGATGCTGCGTATGCAAACACTCGTGGATTTTTAGCTCCATATCGTAACACAAGGTACTGGTTAGCAGATTATCGTCGTCGTCGTGCATTGACTAAAGAAGAAAGATTCAATCATGCGCATGCACAACTCCGGAATGTGATTGAACGTACTTATGGTGTCCTGAAAGCAAGGTTTCCAATCTTAGATCAGATGGCTCCTTATCCATTTGCGATACAAAGGAATGTGGTGATTGCTTGTTTTGCCGTTCATAATTTTATCAGAAAGTCCAACATCGATGATGATTTTTTCAAAGAATGGGAAGATGGCACTACAATCAACAATGAAGCACAAGAGGAACCTGAGGATATTGGAGAAGAAGTGCATGCAGCACAATGGGGCACACAAAGTTTACAGTATATGACGAATTTGCGGAATGAAATCGCTAATAGACTAGTAGGAAACATTTAAATTTAAAGTGTTGTGCCTGTTAAGACAAATGACAATTTCTTATCATGTAATGCGACTTTTTTATTATAATAATTTGTAGCATTATTATTCTCGGGCATCTGAAATTATGTTTCAAAACAGAGAAAGTAAACAGACAATATACATTCAGCACTTGTTCCAGACAGAAGGGTTGTTTGGTCATTTAACTTGATTCAGACTTCTCATTCAGCACACTTAGTAAACAGTTTGTTATTCCACTGCCACTTAATCTAGACAGACAACTTAATGCAGACAGACATCTTAATCCATCCAGGACTTGATGAAAAAAAAAGTAAACAGCCCCTAAAATACATGTTTTAATGCAGTCTTGCACGTCTCTCCTTCATCAAATAAAAATCATCAATGATTTTGTCCACGGGAATCTTTTCACCAATTTCTTTTTCAATGTAAGTAACCATGGAATCCCTAAGAAACACATCTTCCATCCTGTTTCGAAGTCTTGTTTTGAATCAAGCGGTGAAGCGGCACTGTGACGCCAGGCGGTGACGCCGGTGAGGTACTGAGGCGGACAGATTTCTTCCCAAGCGGCAAAGAAAAAAACTTCGTTGCGGCACTTTGGAAGAAGATACCAACGTTGATGTGCTTCTGGCTTCTGCTATGTTGACTTTTGTTACTCCGTATCTAATTTTGCATTTCTTTGAATTGTTTCTTTCAAATGGGCTTACTTTGTTAGTTTGGGATAGGGGTGGGCATGGGTCGGGACGGTTCGGGATTAGGGTTATCCCGGTCCCGTCCCAATTAATAATAATGGGACGGGACGGTACGGGACAAGCCTTTGTCCTAGTCTTGTCCCATTTAAATCGGGACCGGGATGGTTCGGAACGGTTCGGGAAGGTTCAAGACGTCCCAAACTAACAAAAAATAATCATTTGTAATTAATATATATTAGCATTTCTAAAGTATCATGCACCAAAATATCAATATTTTAAAAGTTAATTGATGTTCATCACAAGCTAAAAGCTACTACGTATTAGATTTTAGTTAGGTTTAGCAAAATTTTAAATTTAAATTTAAAACAAAGCAAAAATGAATTAGTTTATTCAAAATCATGTGTTCTAGCTGTGAGATACTCATATGTAGATACATAAAGTGGGATAAAAATCTATGTTAGTAAATATTCATGTTAGGTATTATTTTTAATTTAAAAATTGGGCTTGAAGAACTAAAAACATGTTACCATTTATTTTTTGAGTTGACATTACACACTAGTCAAATGCTACAAAATCTATATAGTTATTACAAACGGGACAACGGGACGGTTCGGTATAACCTTTTAATGTCCCGGTCCCGTCCCGTTTTAAACCGGTACGGGACCGGTGCGGGACAAAATCAATGAGACCCAAACGGAACGGGACAAAATCAATGAGACCCAAACGGAACGGGACAACACCGGTACGGTTTCGGGATATACCGGAATGGGACAACGGGACCGGGATTCTTGCCCACCCCTAGTTTGGGCTTTACAATTTGAAGGCCTGGCTGCCTGGCTGAATAATAATTCTACTATATCCAAAAAAATGTAGGGGCCATATCAAAATTTAATATATAAATTTAATTTTTTTACCTATATACTATTTTTTTTTTGCAGGGACCATGGCCCCCTCCAGCCCCCCTGTCTCCACCCCTGCATGCTCAAGTCTTAAGCCTTTAAAGCCTAGGCCGGTTTAAGCGAGGCAAAGGCGTGAAAAGGCGTTTCAATTTTTTTTCCCTTTTTTAAAATTTTTCTAGATTTATTTTTAGATGTGTAAATTTAATATGGATGTACTAGACAATACTTCATATTTGGTGATATTTCTGTAGTTCTAATTCATTCTTATTTTGAAAAATTGATAAGAATAATCCCACCTTTCACTGATCTTCTCATAATAATCTCACATTTACATAATCCCGGAATAATCCCACATTTGCACCACATCTTCTTTCATTGGACCCTTTTTTTGAAAATCTTATATAAATAATCCCACATTTGTAGGTCATCAATAGGTTAGGTTCCAATAAAAGAAGATAAGGTGCAAATGTGGGATTATTCTTAGATTATGTAAACGTGGGATTATTATGAGAAGACCAATGAAATGTGGGATTATTCTTGTCAATTTTTCCTTCTTATTTTCATTTTCACATTTTACCAATTAAATACTAACTACATAATTTTAATTTTCTTATAATCAGCGCTCTATTCAAACAAAAGTAATTTCATGCGAGAACATCATACTTTTTCAAATTATCAACACCAGAGTTGCAAATCTCACAAGTACAAATTAACCTATTACATAAAATTAGAATTGAATAAAACAATTGTATGTAAAAGAGAAAAAAACGCTTTTAGTCCCTGAAATAGTCATCATTTTGAAATGTTAGACCCATATTTCTGAGTGTAAATGTCACTCCTTAATTGTCCAAATTGCTGTAAATATGGTCTTTTGAGAAGTGAAATGTACAATGTTGGCGAGAAGTACACTTCACCCCTCAAAGGATCACACTTACAGCTATTTGAACAATTGAGGGGTGACATTTTCAATCTCAAAAATACGAGTCTGACATTTCAATATGGTGACTATTTCAGTGAGTAAAATAATAATATGATGATTACAGAAAGGACATTGGGTGATAATTAATACGGAGTAATATAGTATTAATAATAAAAATTAGTGGTTGTTTACTTTAGCGTATTTATAAAAATATTTTTACAAATGACAACAAAGTTCAATAAGTGGGTGTGTTAGTTGTAGAAAACCTGGAGCTGTATAAGTGGAACCACATCTAAAGTTGAAAACCTTTTCTTATCCAGCGTATTTGAGTTCGTCCCACACCGGAAATAAGAGGAGAATTCCTATTTACGAGGCTCTATAAATAAGTCTTCGCTTCCTGAGATAATTAAATAGCCTTCTGAGTCAAGAACAGGTGTTGGGACTCCATGATTTGGGGGTTTAGTTGAAAGGAACGCCTTTTGCAGCGCCTATTGGGTGTGCGAGGCGTTTGGTTGGTGCTTCACGCTTACACCCGCCTACACGGCACCTTTTGAAGTGTTTTAGAACACTGCTCTTCCCCCTAACAAGTGTTAGGACTAACTTTTTAACACTTCTATTACTAACACTTCGAACACTCAATCCAGACAGGTGGTAAGAGACACTATCGAATTGTGGCCTTTTAATTTATTTGTATCCCGACATAGGCTATAAATATATATTTTGATCATATTGTTTCACCACACTCTTTCAACATAAACCACCTACAAAATATTTTAACACAACGGTTAAGACTTAAGATGTGGTCTCTAAATTCAGATATTAAAAAGTACGTGAGTAAAACTAAGGACAGAACTATTTAAGGTGTACCGTGATCTTGCTCACGAAACAATATTCCATGATGAGGAGGTTTTATATGTCGAAACTTCTATACGGTTCTAAGGTTTGCACTCCCTTTCTTTATGTTACTACATCCTATAATGTTATTATTATTCTAACTTAACTGTCAAAATATATAAGTATAAGGTTTGCACTCCCTTTCTTTATGTTACTACATCCTATAATGTTATTATTATTATTCTAACTTAAGTGTCAAAATTTATAAGTATAAGGTCAATGTAAGGATTGTGAATGGGACCACCCATGTTTCATACCCATGTTTCATCCCTACCCTCTCGGGTTTGATTAACAAAGCACAAGGTGCATTTGTGGACGGCCGCCTAATGTTTGATAACATTTTCCTTGCCCAGGAACTTGTTAGAGGATACAATAGGAAGCGAATCTCACCTCGTTGTATGATTAAGGTGGATTTGCGTAAGGCCTATGATACTATTTCTTGGGATTTTCTTGCCAATGTCCTTAGGGGTTTGGGCTACCCCGATATGTTTGTGAGGTGGATTATGGAGTGTGTCACTACCGCTTCTTTTTCTATCTCTTTGAATGGTTCTTTGCATGGTTTTTTTAAGGGTAAGCGTGGCATTAGGCAAGGGGATCCAATGTCCCGTTTGCTTTTTGTTCTAAGCCTTGAATACTTCTCTCGCCTTCTAACCATGAAAACTAAGATGTCAGGCTTTAACCATCACCCGCTTTGTGGGCCATTGGGCATAACCCACTTGGCCTATGCGGACGATCTTATGCTCTTTTCAAGAGGAGACAAATATTCCATCGGAATATTGGTTGATACTCTTAAAGAGTTTGGGGACGTATCGGGCCTAAGGGTTAACCACAATAAATCGAATATTTTCATTGGAGGGGTTAATAGTTTGGATTTGCAAGGTATTTTAGACCTCGTTGATTATGATCATGGAGTTTTCCCGGTGAGATACCTTGGTATCCCACTTGCGCCTTTAAAAATTTCCGTGGCCCAATATGTGCCACTATTGGATACGGTAAATGATTTTTTAAACACTTGGAACACCAAGACGATCTCCTATGCAGGTAAACTTGAGCTAATACGATCTGTGATCCAAGGGGTCCAGTCGTTTTGGCTCCAAATATTCCCGGTACCTCAAACTATCCTTAATATGATTGTCTCGATTTGTCGTATTTTTTTATGGGGTGGCAAATTTGCAAAGGTGGCGTGGGATGATATTTGCCTTCCTAAAGAGGAAGGAGGCCTGGGCATTCATAATGCAAAGATATGGAATCATGCCCTACTTGCTCGCACCCTTTGGGATGTGCATCTAAAGAAAGACACACTTTGGGTACGTTGGGTGAACAGTGTCTACCTCAAGGGTAGAAACGTGTGGGACTTCGTCCCACACGCCCGGGACTCTCAATTAATGAAACGATTGAGTCTCATTCGAGATAAGATTCGGGGCTGTTTTAATAATTTGAATGATACGATTCTTGGCCTTAATGCTCGATCCACGAATGGGAAATTGACCTCCGCAAAAATCTACGATTTGTTAAGAGTTAGGGGTAATGTCAGGACTCCTATGAGTTTCATATGGAAATCCTACATCCCCCCCAAACTATCTTTTAATGTGTGGTTGGCCTTAAGAAACCGGCTTCTTACCCAGGACAGTCTCGGTTATCTACACATTGTGAATAGGTGTGATCTATGCAAGGGTGGTTTGGAGACAATACCACACCTCTTTTTCCTTTGCCCCTTTACTTGTAGGGTGTGGCAGCACATAAGGAACTGGTTGGGACTCAGGCATGAAATGACAACCCTACTAAGTGCCATTAAGTGTGTTGAGGTTTATTCCTTCAACCCGTGGACCCAACACGTAAGCCCAAAGGTTTCGAGTGGAGTGAAATGTATGGATGTCTAGCCCAACAACTATGAGATGAATCAAGAAACAATAATAATAGCAGGCAATGTAAATAGGTATTATTAACTCCGTAATAACTCCCCTAAGTACAATCTACTTGCTAAACAAGGCACGTCGGCCGTTCGTCTTACAGGCAGTTAGAGATGCTGCGAATAAGAATGCTCAAGCTAGTATGCTAAGAATAGAAAGTTGCCAACCCTTTACAATGGAATAAATGCTTCTATTTATACCCGCCAATGGGCAGGTGGCTGTAGTGACGTGGCAGCCTGTGGACCGCTGGTGTCCCAACTACCAAATCTTTAGCATTAAATGCACTTCCCGCCAGAATCTAGGTTTCCCGCCGGATCAGTGGGGACGTTCGTCCATCGGGAAGTGAGTTGGATTGCTCCAAGGGACCCTTGGGAGATATCGGCCGTTCGTCTCCTGGCCTTGACAGATACTCACCATGTGGACTGGGTTTTCTCCGATGACTACAGGCTTGCTATGGGGACGTTCGTCGCCGTCCCTGGTGGCCCGTGGTTCTGCTCCTTATCCCTGCACAGACGTTCGTCGGGATGAGCTGCTGGGCCTGAGTCCCCCAACACCAGACGTTCGTCCATCCTCAAGGAACATGGGCCTGTGTGCTGGCCTAGTGATCTAACTGGACGTTCGTCTGGCGAAATGGGTTAGTGGGCCGGACCTCGGCTTGGGCCCTTAACCCAACACAAGTCCCCCACTTCTGATGTTCTGAGCATGCGCAGGACATAAGGAAGTATGAACCTCCCCGAAGTAGACGTCCGTATCTTGGTACTTGTGTTTATTGCACCTGGTGGAAGCGTACGTTCGTGGTCATGATGCTTGACAGCTGTTTGACGGTTCAGGAAACGAGGTGACGGCTGATGTTGCAGCGGCGCGTTTTCCCGAGGAAGTGCCATCATTACGTTCCCATCCCACGCACAGCGCGTGGGCCGGAATACGCTCCTTGCCACGTGTCAGCCCCTCGTTGGTTTCTTCATCGGTGCTTCTCCTATAAATGCTAGGTTTTCCCTCTGAATTAGGGTTCCCAATTTCTGCTTTCTTGCTCTCGATTTTCCGCAGCTCTTCAAGTTTCCCAAATTCGGCCAACCATACCTTTGTAAGGTAATTTCCCCCCTCTGCTTCTTTTCTTTATCCTGATTTCTAGCCGAAATGACTTCGATGGAGATTTCCTCAAGTTCCGATTCCAGTTCGTCGGGTTCCTCCTCGGGCTCCTCTTCTGACAATGCGAATGCACGCTCCCCGGGAAAAACTAGTGTTTCCGGAACCTCGGGTTCGGCCACGACTGTGGGGACCATCCGGGCTGATGGCGAGCCGGATGACGTGTCCCAAGATAGCGGGAGCGACGCCGGGGGTGGGGGCGCTGACGGGGCAGTAGATGTTATTGACGCAGTCCCCCTGAATGAGCGTCCTGCTGATTATGATTCCGGAGAGGAAGCCGAATCTGGTTCTGATGTGGAGGTGTATGATCTGGGCATCCCCACGGATAGGGAGCGCCACATCTGCCCGATCAGGAGTGCACTTGACCATGACCAAGTCCTTTCCCGCGTGGCCCTCAATAAAATCCGTACCTTCCTTCCCCCGCCGTTCGTCTGGAGTGTGAGAGGTGCTGAGCATGTGATGAGGAGACGTCCGGGGATGATCATGCTTCACCTGGACTCCGTTGAAGCCGGGCTGAGGTTTCCACTTCATGCGTTCTATGTGGAGTTCTTCCACTGCTTCCAGGTGGCCCCGGCGCAATTCATGCCAAATTCTTACAGATTCATATCGGCCTTCTTGGTGCGCTGCCAACTTGCGGGGGTCGATGCCACTCTGGAGCTCTTCCATTATTTCTACCGCGTCACTCCTCAGAACGCCGACGGGTATCTGAGCGTGGCCGCACGTCCTGGGAGGCGGCTGTTCAAGAACTACCCTTCGTCCATCCACGACTGGAAGAACCGTTTTTTCTTCCTTCGATACGACGGGCCTCCTCTCCCTCTCCGGTGGAATGGGTACCCCCCAAAGATCGAGTCATCGGAGCCGTCCGACGATCTGCTTCTGGATGCGGAGAAGGTGTTGGAGGGTGGCGTCCGTCCTATAGCCGGATTCCTGACCTTCGAGGCACTCTCTGGGGCAGGCATAGGTACCGCCCGTGTCCCTGGACTTTTTCTACCCTTCGACGCTCGTCTCGGGGCACCGGGCGGTCCTGTCCTTCGAGGTGAGTGTCTTATTCTATTCCCCGCTCGTCTTCTAATCCTTTGTTATTTTTTGCAGGTCCTCCGCCAGACAGGGATCAAATGAATCACGCCGAGTGCCTGAAGACCAGGAAGGCCAAAGCGGCCGCCGCTAAAGCTGCGATGGAGAAGGCCAAGAATGCCCCCGCCTCGGCGTCCAACTCCTCGGCTTCTGACGCTGCCCGGCGAACTGCCGAGGGTGAGCAGCATCTGATTGCCACTGTGCTGGCTCAGGGTTCCGGGGCCCCTGCTCTCGAAGCCGCCCTTCCCCAGCCGGTCGTCCCCACGAAGATGGCTCCTCAGAAGGGTCCGGAGAAAGCCCCGGAGAAGAGACAGAAGAGGGGCCGCGAAGCAGGCTCCACCGGGCCCCTGCTTGAAGACGCCGGCTCCTTGCCATTGAGCCGCCCGGCGGAAGAGCTCTGGAGGGAGATGGCCCTCAAGGCTGGTCTAGAGCTGCCCAGCCGTTCGTCCTCTGAGGCGACAAGCGCTGCCCTGGCAGCCGCTCTTCAGGTAATTCCTTGCTAGCTCTGAGTATATCTCTTATTTTCCTTGATGTTCATCCTCTGATCCTTATTTTTTCTTCTTCTGTCATCCAGTCTGGGCTTCTAGTCCTTCAGGCTGAAGCTGCCCGGGAGGCCGACCTGAAGGAGGCCAAGGCCAAAGCTGACGCGGCCATCGCTGCGGCCCGGGAGGCCGCTCGTCGAGCAGAGGCGGAGGCGGCCGCCAAGGAGAAGGAGATCGCCGCCCTGCGGGCAGAGTCCCGCCAGCAGCTGGCCAGCCTTGAGAAAGCTGGCTTCAAGCTTGTCCCGGTGCACCCTACTGCAAAGGGTGCCAGTCCGGAGTGGCTGGTCGATACCTCCGGCTATCGGAACACCGGGGAGTTCATGGATTCCGCCAAGGATTACTGCGCCGGAGCCTTCGGTGACGTTTTCTCTGCGGCGCTGGAGAAGATCCCACCCCGGCAGCGTCTGGCGAGCGGGGTCCGGATTCTGGAGAGCTCCCCCTTGTCTCACAAGTTCCTCTACGAGGTCGGCGACAGCTCCTTCGCCGCCGGTTACAATGAGGGGGTCAAGGCCACCCTTCCCATCTTCTCAAGGCTGCAGGGGGCCGACTTCGAGCTCGCTGCCAATACGGATGATGATCTGCTGCTCCAAGCCTTGGGGAAGTTGGGGAGGGACCAACGGCGGGAGGAAGCCAAGGCCAGAGGAGAGATTCCGGAGCCCCCGACCCCTGAGCCCGAGGCCGAGGAGGAAGAGCAGATTCCGGGAGGCAGCCGGCCTGAATCCCCCTTCTTTGTATAATGTACTTTGTATTTTTCCATTCCAACCTTTGTAATGTCCGGCCGTTAGAGCCGAGGAATATACATCTTTTTGCCCATGATTATTCCATGTTCATGATTTCTACTTGTTATTCTCCTTCCTTCTGTCCTTCGATGTATGGAAACCCCTTCGGCGGTCCGACATGCCTTGTAGCAAGGTCAGAGTCCGAGAGGACGTTCGTATCCGTCCTCTACTTGCTTCCAGGCAAAAGCGTCCCGAAGTCAATCCTCCGTACGTATTCAACGCGTTCCGTCAATGGAGCGACGTTCGTCGGTGGTTTATGGTGCATGCTCGAAGTGTAGACATAGGAACGTATTTCTCAGCACCAGCACTTGATAACGATGTCCGCCCGTCGTCGCGTGATATGAACATTCAAACCACGCGCGGGACGTTCGTCTGTTTTGCGTGCTCATCTGGCACGAAGTGTGGAGAGGCGGCGTTCATCCTTTGTGCACCATCAATGGACGTGATTTTCACTTCATTCTTTTGTGCCCATCGTTTGTAGTATGAGGAATCCCTCCGGCGCCTCGACACATCTTTACCGCCTACGCGGTCTCTGGACAGTGGGAAGACGTTCGTCGGTAATTGCCTTGCCAGCACACGATTCAAGTATGGACTTATGGGCGTATTTCCCTGAAACAGCGCTTGGTGACGACGTTCGTTCATATTGCGTGACCTAAAAAACTGGTGTGCTGCAAGAGGGACGTCGCCAGTTGATTCGTGTGCCCTCGCCAGCCGCCGATGCTAGGGTCGGCCGGGGAATTAAGGAAGCAAGGGAGGTTGAATGTCTTCAAATTCCTCCGAGCCGGTGAGCCCTCCTCAAGGGACGTTCGTGGCACGGACCCGGATGTCCTTGTGTGGGTTATGCGGCGACAAAATCGAGACGCTTTAAATACCGTGGTAGGTACCGGTATCCAGGCGCCACGTGTCCTGCTTCGGTTGGGGCAATCCCGCGGTGTTGCCTATAAATACTCAGTACCCAAGTGATCCACTCACACTTCTCCTTACGCTGCACAATTGCCTTCTCTCTCTAGACTTCTCTTTTGATCGTATCGGAAACCTCGAGCTCCAAGGTATCGTTCGTCGTCATGTCTTCCGAAAGTCGTTTTGATGATGGATGTTCTTCCGGTGATGACTTGGAGTATTATGAGCGGGGAATGCCACCCCGGCCTCCCCGTTATAGCCTCAACTTCTCATGCGTCCGGCGTCAAGTTCAACGCCTGACGAACGCTGACAAGCGATTGATCAGTCAATGGTTCTATCCACCAAGGACCTACGACGATCGGCGTCTTCGGAACCCCATGCGCCATCTGCCCGGCTATGTGGTGGTCCACCTAGATTCGGTGATAGCCGGGCTGAATTTTCCCTTGCATAGCTTCCACTTGGAACTCTTCAGGGCCCTCGAGATTGTGCCTGCGCAGCTCGTCCCTGCCGCTTATCGGATAATCGCTGGCTTTATCATTAGATGCCACAGCGTCGGTGTGACCCCCACCGTGGACCTGCTGCACCATTTCTTCCGTCTGTCCACCTTCGGACGTACAGGGTATTTGACCCTAATTGCCCGTCCGTCCATGGTCCTGTTCTCGAACAACGCTGGGAATCCAGACGGTTGGGAAGAACGCTTCTTCCTGGCCGGAGTAGGCTCACCGATGCCATTCTCTGATCGGTGGAACGCCTACCCTGTGAAGACGATCCCGCCGCCCATGACGGACGAGGAGCTTGGATATGCCAAGCGCATAGCCGGACTTGGCATCCAGAACCTCCGGTTGCTGGTGGCCGAGCCCTTTAAAGCTCAGGCTGGGTTAGGTGCGTCCGTTTGTACTTGCATTGTTTTAACCTCTCTTCGCTGTTATGGTTCTGAACGCCTTGATTCCCCTTATGCAGGAGTTTGTCCATCCACGTCCACCATGCGCCGAGACAATGCCGCTCCGATTGCCGCCGACCGTGGGCACAGAGGGCATGACAAGCCCGGGAAACCGCTCGTCCCCAAGGTTGAAACTAGGGTGACCAGGGGCCGGACTGAGGATGATTTGGGAGCCGGCGCCTCCAAGAGGTCGCGCGTCGAGGGTACAGCCTCCAAGGCCATCATAGTAGCCGACGACTCTGATGGTGAGCCTGGGAGCCCCCTTAAGCGGAAGCCTGCTTCTCGGGGCAAGTCCCGTCCTTCTCCCCCACGAACTTCTGACGTTCGTCGTCTCCGGGATGATGATGCCCAGATCGCTAAGGGTTCTGACGATGCTCGTCCTCCTTCGCCCTCAAAAGCCAATGGGTCCTCCCTTGGTTTGATTGAGTTCTCCGGGGTTGGTCCACGCAAGGAGTCAATGATGCTCTTTGGTCAGACGGCATCCTCTATCTGGTGTGGCCTGAATCTCAAGGTCCCCCAGGATTTTGCTGCTCAGGAGGCACCCGAAGACCTTCTGGAGTGTGGCCAGAGCACCTTGGATAAGGCCGGGCTCTACTTCCACAGGGCCCGGATGGCCTTCGAGCATCAAGGCAGGGAAATGGCCAGGGTGCGGGCCGAAAGCGACGCCCTTCTGAGGAGTGCAAAAGGCAGGGCTGGCACTCTTCAAGAGAAAGCCGATGCCTTCGATAAACTCGTCCAGGAGAATGCCTCTCAGAAGGAGCTCCTCAAGAAGCAGGAGGCCGAGCTTGTAGATCTGCGCAGCCGGCTGTGGGCCGTAGAGAAAGCCAAGGTGGAGCTTCGCCAGACGGGCGTGGACAATCATGTCCCTATTTATGAGGCCGATGTTGCCAAAATCAAGGAGTCTGGTTCCATTGCCTTTCAGAAGTCCAAGGCTTATACTGGCGCCATCCACACTATGGCCATGAAGTTCCTCCCGCGGCTCGTCGGCGAGTTCCTGGCCACCTGCCCGGATGCCTATCAAGACGGGGTAAAATTGCTCCAGGCCACACCCACCGGACGTCGTTTTCTTGACGATCTCGCCGATGACACCTACCGCAAAGGTATGGTTGGGCTAGTGGCGGAGAATCTCCCGACGTTTGAGCGTCACTTTGGGGCTCCCTTTGATCCGGAGGCGGCTGGTTTCGACGTCTTGATGGCAGACGCTCATGCAGGGGCCCTTGAGTTGCTGAAGGAGCAGGAGGAAGCCGCGGCTAGCGACAAATCCAAGCAGGCCCCTTCCCGAGCTCCAGCTCCGGACGCCGATCTGCCGTGATTCTCTGCTCATCATCTTGTACTTGTATAATTTTTCATTTTTGTATTGTACTGTCATACATTGTAATTTTCCGGCCAATAGTGCCGAGGAATAAAAATCATTCTTTGCTCCATGCTCGTCTGGCATTTTTTTTTTTTTTTTTTTTTTTTTTTTTTTTTTGGAGTCTTTTGGTCTTTGTTCGTCCTTGGTCCTTGGTCCTACCGGCGTCCCTACATCGAGGAGACGTTCGGTATCCGCAGACGTCGCAAGGAAGAACAGGTTTATCTACATCGAGATTCCCCCCTTCTTCGTTCGTCCGTGGCCCTTTTAGTCTTACCGGCGTCTCTTGCTTCGAAGAAGACGTTCGGTACCCAAGGGACTCGCAGGGACGAACAGGTTTACCCTCACGGGTTCCCGTCTTCGTTATCCCACGTCCATCGATCCATGGTCATTTGTGGGATAAACAGGTTTATCTTGGCAGGCTCCCTTGGTTCGTCTAGCCCCCTCCACGTCTCTACTAACCTCTTCATCGAGAGGCGTTCGCCTTCGGCGGTGGGGGAAGATCTGGCACACCCGGGCAAGATTCCCTTCCGTGTAGGAGCTTCTCTCCTCTTCTCCCCATTTTTTTTTTTTTTTTTTTTTTTTTTTTTTTTTTTTTAAGGAGGTGATCTTTGTTCGCCCTTGGTCCTTGGTCCTACCGGCGTCCCTACTTCGAGGAGACGTTCGGTATCCGCAGACATCACAAGGAGGAACAGGTGTATCTGCATCGAGATTCCCTAGTGCTTCGTTCGTCCTTAGTCCTTGGTCCTACCGGCGTCCCTACTTCGAGGAGACGTTCGGTATCCGCAGACATCACAAGGAGGAACAGGTGTATCTGCATCGAGATTCCCTAGTGCTTCGTTCGTCCTTGGTCCTTGGTCCTACCGGCGTCCCTACTTCGAGGAGACGTTCGGTATCCGCAGACATCACAAGGAGGACAGGTGTATCTGCATCGAGATTCCCTAGTGCTTCGTTCGTCCTTGGTCCTTGGTCCTACCGGCGTCCCTACTTCGAGGAGACGTTCGGTATCCGCAGACATCACAAGGAGGAACAGGTGTATCTGCATCGAGATTCCCTAGTGCTTCGTTCGTCCTTGGTCCTTGGTCCTACCGGCGTCCCTACTTCGGGGAGACGTTCGGTATCCGCAGACATCACAAGGAGGAACAGGTGTATCTGCATCGAGATTCCCTTCTTTAGCGGCCGTTGGCAGAACGGAAATGATGTAAAAAACAGGGGGCCTTTATTATTGACGACGTCCGGTCATTTTACATGGGAGTGGAAACATAACAAGGACATCAGCCTCTAACTATTGATAGAACTTTTTCAGGTGTTCAACGTTCCACATCCCGGCATGGTTCCCCTCCAGGGTATGGAGGAGGAACGTCCCCTGGTTGTATCTTCTGATGACCCGGTAAGGTCCCTCCCAGTTCTTCGCCATTTTGCCGCCTTCGAGCGGCTTGCTCTTCTCTCTTTTCCTGAGTACGAGGTCCCCGGCCTCTATTTCGCGGAATTTCACAGCCTTGTTGAAGTATCTCTGGGTGGCCCTGTGATACTCTTCCATGCGTCGAGCCGCCAGGTCCCTTCGTTCCTCAATGAAATGGAGCTCCGCTCGCAGGTTGGTCTCGTTGTCCTCCGGCTGGAAGTGCTTGGTGCGGTGTGTAGGTACCAATACTTCCGTCGGTACCTTAGCTTGGAAACCATAAGCTAAGGCGAAAGGGGTCTCGCCAGTTGCCGTTCTGGGCGTTGTTCTATACGTCCACAAGACATAATTCAGCTGTTCCGGCCAGGTGGAGGCGTAGTCCTCTAACTTCTTCTTGATTCCATCCATGATGGTCCGGTTCATGTTCTCCACTTGGCCGTTGGCC